AAACGGTTTTCCTTATGTTCACATAGAACCTCCTATGCTCCAGCTTGCACCCATTGCCCCTTGTCCTATCATTTGACATCACAGAGAATAATAATCAAAAAAAGAGTGGAAAAGATAAATTCTAGAGTTAATAAGAGAAAAATCAAGAAAAATAAGGGTCAATGGAGAATGAATAAAATGTGGGTTGGTTCCTTATGGGGGAAAAATGGAAAAAAGGAATATAAGGCAAACCATATAAATGGGGCTTTTGGAGATCTCTGTTGATCAGTCATGTACCTGATTATTACAGGCTGATGTAATAATAATCCATAATTATAAATCACATCAACAAACATGTTGTTTTTCTTACCATCTCTGTCTGACTGGCTTCTGCAGACAGGGGCATCAGGGATGGCCTCCCTAAGCATTAGAAATGCAATGGAGGATGGACCAGACCTCCCTAAAAGAATTTACATCCCTAGATACTCTTCAAGTATTTTCCAGTAACAACTTCTCCAGTTGTTTATCACAGCCACTCACATATACTTGATTATTCTAGCCTATATACTATACCCTAATTAGCTTCTAACTTGTTTTTCAGACTCATTCTTCAATATGTCAGGATTATGTTTGAAACTGTGTTTTAAAGCTCTGTGTCTGCAAAACTAGTAGGCTTACTTTTTGCTAATGCTACTACAGGGAGTATTCAAAGAAATTGGATCCAGAACAGACCCTTTCAGGACTTCTAGTCAATATGTCAGCTTTGAAAGCAAGCCATTTATATCTGTTATTGGATTATCCAACAAGGTCTATACAATGAAATCTGTGTAATACCTGTTTTAAATATTTCAATGTCAAGAAATGTCATAAACCTTACTGGAATCAATATATGTTGCAGAAACTGCCTGACACCCATCTACAAGATGTGTTGTACTATCACAGGAAGAAATTAGTTTGATTGTCACTGTTCTTGAAAAATCTTTCAGGACAGACATTCATTTGTTATCTTAAAGCTGCATACAAATATTTTGTTTATTTATTTCAAGTTTCTTTCTAGAGATTGAAGTTAAATTCTCCAACTTCTTTTTATTTTTCCATTAACAGCCATGATGTTTGCTCTTTCCTAGTCTTTTGATATGTCACCTGGCAGACACAAATTCTGTGAAATATCTTGATAATAGCTCTGAGATTACTTTGACAAGATTTTCAAATATCACCAGGCATTAAAAGCATACATACCACCAAAACTTCCCTTTGTAATCAGAGATTGTATTGGGTTTTGCTAGCATTATTTGCAATAACTGTCTTTGGAAGTTGACCTTTTTAGTGAAGTCTGACTTCTGATATGTTGAGTAGAAGATAAGCATTTTCCTTTGTCTTCTTGCTTTTAATGCACTTAGAGTAGCATTAAAAAAATGCTACTAATCTGTCCCTTGCTGGTTGCATCTTAATCTGTGTCCTGGCCTTCCTGGTACTATCACATGCTTTGCTTTTACATACATTGTCTCTAGATTTCATTTTCTATATGATTTCCTCTGGAGGTCAATGAAGAGGTTACTGCAAAAAATCAAATCAAACAAGGAAAGAGACATCATAGGATGTAGTGAAAATCTGATATACAACATCAGAAGAAAAAATATACATAGTCTAAATTAATATCTCATCAATATTTTCCTATTGAAGAAACTGTATCGTTTTAGTGGACAACAGGAAATCATCGTAATAGTTTTAAAAACATTAAAAAAATCCAGCATATAAAATAAAAAACCTTGCAAGTAGTTTTTCTGTACACAGAGAGAATTGCCTAATTTACTTTTTCGTAAAAAATATAGAGCAATCCAGCAGTGCGTATCTGATAACACAGAGTCAAGTGTTTTGAAATCGCTAGAGAACCATAATACATTTTATCAAGCAGAATCAAGTGGTACAGTATTTGGAGAATGGTGGCTGTAAACATCCTTCACAATCAATAAAATAATGTACAACCTGGCTCAATCCCCCTCTCTCCTTGTGGAGCACCAATATGCTCTAAAAGTATCCAGTGTACAGATGCTGTGTGCTTCATCATCTACACAGGTTATATATACACTTAGAGCCAGAGCTTCAGCAGTGGTACTCATTTAATATCTTTTAAATTCATGTAATCTCTGTATATTTGTTAAAACCTTGTAGTCCTTGACATGGACTAACTAGCATGACAAGAGTTAGGATAACTAGAACTCTCCAGACAATTCCCAGAGACAGTCTGAGATTTAAGCACTGGTGGGAATAATTTCCAATAGGCAGTTTAAATCCAGACACCTTGCTTTGGTGGGAGAAGAGAATTTTTAAAAGTGAAAGTAACCAGACAATGCAAACTAGTTCCATGACCTGGAACTGTTTGTTTTAAAAGTACAAATACATTCATAATAATTACACAGAATCACAGAATGGTAGGGATTGGAAGAGACCTCTGAAGATTGTCTAGTCCAACCTACCTGTCAAAGCAGGATCACCTAGGGAAAATCACACAGAAACATATACAGGCAGATTTTAATGTCTCCAGAGAAGCAGACTACACAACCTCTCTGGGCACTCTATTCTAGTTGCTTAATTGTTTGCCCATGGAATTCATTATGTTCTGGAGATTCAGTTTTCAGCAAAACCAGTCAGGGGTAATATGAAAGTCAGGAAAGAAAGCTGTATATAGAAAAGTAATTTTTTATGTTCTTGGCCCTGAATCCCAGTTTTTAATTACCTATAAGAAAGTATCTGAATCTATCCTGGTCCAATCTCATCCCTTTATGAAAGATTAAATTGGACTCTAAAGGCAATGAAGAAAAGTAACTGCAGGCAACACAATAAACAAACTCTAAGGGCCTGTTTAATTCCTCAGGAATGTCCATACTCAAAAGCAAATATAAAGTCGCAGTTATCACCAATTTTACTTTGAGGCATCTCCTCCAGTGACATCCAATCTCTTAAGCTTATCCTTTCTCTTAATTTTAAACCAATTGTATTAACAAGAGCTATTCAGGTTTGTACAAATATTATGTAACTGACATTATTAGGCTCCATTAAAAAAGGGTCCTCTTTTGTTTTCAGTTATCGTCAAGTTTTATTTTCTTCCTCTATGATATAAATATATGAGAGAATCCCATTTTGGTTGCTTTCAAAGCAATTTTTCACAGGACATTTTAAAGCCTGAATTTTTAACATTTGCTTCTTTATTATTGTGTTTGCTTGCTTTATTTACTTGATCTGCCCAAATTCATTATAAGCTTTATTTTTTCTCACTTCTTGGCAGAGAACAATCCAATGCTTGCTGATGTCAGTCCCACCTTAAATTTTCAGTTCCTGAAATCAATTGTATCTTCCCTTCTTTTCACATTTGGAATGGAAAAAAGTGGAATAGATTTGTACTGTCTTACTTCAGATGATATGTTAAGAGGGTGTTCTTCTAAGGACCTCAGTATAGTCAAGACAGAAAAAAAAGCTTCTATAAAGGATGATTTAGAGCATTGATGAGCATTCCACATTTGAACAACTCTCTGATACAGAGTAATTTTCTGCACCTGACTGTCTAAGCAGTTTATGGAGACTAGCCCATTTATTTAGGAGATCAAATTGGGTAGTTAGTGATATGTAAAATGACTGTCCCTAATATTTTAAAAAATTTGAGGAAGAATGTGAGTTCCTTTTTTTCAACTAAACCCATTATGTGTGGCCAAACTGATATGAATAAACTTTGAATAGTTACTTAAGTACTTGCAGTAGAGAGTTCATCCAACAAAAGATATCTGAATTCAATACCTTTTCCCCTGGCATTTATAATCACTCGCTTTTCATAACAGTTTAATTCATAATTAAAAGTCACGGCAGGGAGTGTAATTAAATGCTCCATTCTTATAAGGAACAGGTATTTATGTTAGTTTTGGGAGTAATCTAATAACCTACTACACATGGAATTAAAGTCTATAGTGGTTTTTAAGGTATTTTTCTTTTCCAGTGTAATGACCCAAATATAAGAAAATAGTGCATAAGAAAAGTCAATGGTTAAATATTTTTGATAACTTCTAGAAAAGTCTATAAATTTCCAAACACATTTTACAAATCAGATGGTGAAATGGCAACATATGAAAGAATATACAAGCTGTTGAGCTAACAAATATTTATTTGATCCCGATATGAAGATTTTTTGACAGTCTTTGACTTCTGCAATAAAATTCCATAATAAATTTCTGCAGTAAAACAATATAAAAGACACCTTGCCTAATTTTCACTTTTATAATCAACAAAACCAGCATTGGAAAGAGCAGAGATCAGGCTTTTTATTCCTGAGTAATGATTAAATGCCAGATTGATGGAATGAAACCACACATAATTGAAACCCATTGGTTTTATAATACACGCTTCAAAGTACTTCCCAGAATTAGAGAATTAGTGTGGAAAATGCTACTATTATATTTTACAATGCAAATGAAAAAACTCTTTGCAGTGCTACAAGAAGTCAAAATATTTCCCAATGTGGTAAATTCATCTGGGTCTTCAGGTCGTTTGGCTAGTTGGAACAGAAAAAATATCTTATGAAAAGTCCAAGATGAAAAGTCATGGAAAAACATGGTCTGCACAGCATGCCATATGCAAATCAGATTGGATTTGTAATACATTCCTTGGCTTTCTGTGCACTACATATGGTGTAAATACAGAGTTAACTTGTCAGACTCACTGCTGCAATAATGCATGCAAACACAGACTATGCTTTACAAGACTTGGTTGTGAGTTCCACTGTTCCCCTCTCATTTATTTCATGGCTTTGTATAATCTACTTTTCAGGTCTATAGTAGAGGATTCTACTCATTACTATGGATTAGTGAGAATCTGCTCTATTAACTAGGTAATTCCAGAACTTCAAGCCATATAAAAGTTGTTTTTACCCTAAAATTTTAAAACTGTTTAAATGTGTATATGTAAATTCTACATATTTTACAGCTTAATGCAATGAGAATTTTAAAAATTGAATAATATAATGAAAGTCTTACCTGGTCTGAGGGAGAGCAGCATTTATTTGCCATTTTCATCTATGAAAGAGAAATAGAAGAACACAAAGAGTTATTAATATGCTGAAGAGTTTTTGCGATGCAATTATTATTGACTTAGTTATTGAATACTGTATTAATACTTCCAAATTGCATTTATAAGAAATTAAATAATTCAATGCATAAATACTAGATTTTCACTCTTACACTAAGTCTACAAAACAAACAACTCAAAAGACATGAAGCTTTTTATCAGAGTTTTCATGAAATCCTTCATAAACATGTCCATTTATGAATTTAACTTTGCCACTCTGAGTGAAAATATTACACTGTACTGTAGACACTTCACTTAGGTCTCAGTTAAATTATTGCTTGAGCAGATCTATAAATGAGGCATGTGATTAAGTACTTGTGAAATGAAGGCCACAGAGCATAAGACATGTTTAAAGATTAAAAGAATATTGTTTAGATTTTCCTTTTAGTTTACTCTTCAAGATAAGTCTTTCTTCCTCTCTATTCATATAATGAAGAGTTTTGTTGATTTTGGCTTTTCTTTGGCAGTAGTAGTTTGCACAGATAAGTGGTGGACAAACTCTGACAGATATTTCCTTTCCCAAAGTGAAATACTTATTTAAAGTGCAATATCAGTAAGTGCAGTAATGATATGGAATCTAGACAGGAAAAGATTAAATGACTGGAAAAACAGACTTCCCTAAATGCAACTTTATAAGCTGCAAGGTGTCCTACAGTTGAGTATTTCCAAAGGATCTTCTCAAAAACCCTGCTATATAACAAATGAAAGGTTTGTGATAGATGAAACGCTACATCTATGCACAAGAAGAACTACAATTGCCACAGGGCTATCGCTTGGATCCTAGCAGTACCAGATTTCTAAGATCAAATCTGTGGAAATGTTTGGAAGCAGAACATGTCTGCAGCCATGCAGCTCAGTAAAGGTGGTGATGCCATTGCCTGTTCAATTCCTTGCCTACCCCTCCACTGGGGACAGGGGTCTCAGAGTGAGAAAAAAATCAAAGCCTTGATGCTGTGCAAGCACCATAACATAAACATCTAATGACCATGAGACCACCAGAACAGAGGCCATTCACAGCCTACAGGTGCTGGAACCTGCACCATAACACAGACAAGCACCAATGATGAGGACAGAGCTGACACGCAGTTGCCAAGTGGAGGAGGGGGTGGGTGCAGGAAGGTTCCTTGACCCCAGGCTGCATTGCTGCACCATGCCTGGAGCACTTTGGGAAAGGGAAGAGGTGGCAGAGCCGCTTGGTGCTCTCAAGGCCCCAACAGTAACAAACCAGAGGGAACTCAAGAATTCTGTAACTTGGATAAAACAAATTGGTGATGTGCTCAGTGTTGTAGAAGGAATCAAACCTCACCAGTCCGAGTCACAGACAAATACATAGACAAAGTAACTATACAGAAGCCATGTTATACACACATAAAATATCATTATAAAAATATTATTACATGTGGAATAATAAGATTACTATAGCATAAAGCAGTGCAAATAAAAAGGGTTAGCAGGTATCCTGTCTACTTGCACCCTCCTTTTTGGTTCAATCAAACTACTTAAGCTCCCTATATGATAGTAAAAAAATGTTGTTATCCTAGTTTTTATTTTATCGCTTTCAGATGTGACTGGAAAAATGGGTGTGAGACTGGCCATGCAGTTTTTCTGCAGAATGAGGGAAGAGTACTGTGAAGAGCATCCTCATAACCAGTCCATCTTCCCATTGGTAAGGGTAATAGGGAAGAATGCTTTGGACCTCACAGCTATTCACTGCACAGCCTTAGCTCATTCCCTATTCAAAGCAGGGAGAGAAAAGATCTGCATCATAATATGTCCCTATGTCACGGGCTGAGGAGAGAGAAGTATGCACTCTCCACTTCACCTGGCACCACATGTTCTCTGCGTGACTCCACAGCTGGTGCAGAGAGACAGGAATACAAATGGGATACACTACACGTTGGTGGCAGTGCATGAGCTTTCAGCACTGCATTACAGTAATGGGAGCTGGAAACAGCAGAGGAACTAAAAGCAAAAACCTGGATCTGCAAAGACTACAGGCAACTTGGAAAAGGAACTGTTAAGTAATTGTAATTCGTATACTCTGTTCCAAATGAGTACATAGAGGGCAGGAACAGAATGGAGATTAAATGATTCAGAACCATGTACCTAACTCTAAATACCTCCCAGGCTGGGATTTATCTCAACTTTGGTAAGGCAAAAAAAGGAAAAACAGTTATACATTTAATATACCTATATTCTCTTTCCAGACAGCAGAGAGAGAGAATGATATTGGCAGGCATCTATTTTTTCCCTCTGGCTATAAAAGGATGCTATGTGATTTCTTGTTGTTTGGCTAAATTTAAGTGTTGTGATTCCTACTCTTACTGACTTCCCTTTACAACCTCAAAGGTTTGAATTGCGGTACTTTCAAATGAAAATTTTTGAGTTTAAAAACAAAAATAAAGTAGCAGTAAAGAAACATTATTGTGTATTTCTACCCTGGGAATAGAATTGTCTGTATAATCATTAAGCAGTCAAATTTGTATAAAACTCCTGAAAACACAAGCATTTTGTTTTCATCTGCACGTGCCCCACATTCTGCAGTATAAAGAGAGCAAGACCTCCTCAATCTTCTTTCTGTCTTTATACGCATGTTTAAAGCTCATATTTCATAAGTCTCTCCCTATTCAAACAGAAATTACACTCCACTACTATATGGAGTTTCACTTTGATATATATGTACACAAAGGCATGAAAGAAAAGGTTTATACACTATGACATACACAATTTAAAAAGTTGTCAAAGATATAAATAGGACCTGAACTAAAAGCCCTGTTTTTAAGCCTAATTCTAAGTTTCTAACCTCAATTTCTAACCGTCTAACCTTAATCAAAGAATCATGTATTAAGTTGGAAGGGACCTTTAAAGATCATCTAGTCCAACCTGACTGCAGTAAGCCCGGACAACATTACTAGATCAGGTTGCTCCGAGTCCCATCAAGCCTGACCTTGAATGACATACTTACAAAAATAATAAATAATGTTTGAAGTGGAACAACTGAATGTGAACTTGTTCTCTTACCTGCTTATGAACTACTCATTTATTTGTGATTTTTTCTTTAAATAACACCATTAGAATATACATAGAAAAAAACAATAAATAAACCAAACCTTTGAGAAAGTTACAAAGATAAGAAACATGTCTCTATAATGTAAAAGAACTGGCAGCATTACTTTTAGGTGCTTTCACTGATTATGACTACTGTAATGTTCAGTGTTTTGTTTGAAGGAAAAGTATTAAGATCAACGAGAAAAAACGCACATATTTAATAGCTGGCTATCTAAATGGTGCAAAACAGAAGGAGAAACAGAAATCACTCCAAAGCACTCTCTTCTAAAAAGCCATCTCCAGCACAGCATTGCCACTTCAGCCTACAAAGAACCCTCTAGCTGAGCAAATTAAGAACAGAAGCAGTGAGAAGCACATGCAGAACCAGTTGCTTCCTCTGCTGCTTGTTTCATCATGGCAGCTTCACTGCCAGTTTCTGTTAAATCTTTCCCTTCAGTTTCTTCAACTGAACCTCCTTCTGTGAGAAAAAAAGTGTAAAGAAATAAATGAGAAGTGCTGATTAATCTCTATTTTTTTTTTCTGCCAAAGGTAAATGTGAAGAGATTTTAGAACACTGGATCACAAAGGAAGATGATAGGAAAGTTTCACACTGGTAGAGAACTATGTGAAACAAGAATATGAACTGAGTGATGAATAATTTGGGGTGAGGGTCCTTAGAAAAAAACAAACAAATAAAGAAAAACAAAAAAAGTAATCTATACTGCTTGTAAAGCTGACAGTTACTAGGAGATTTTCTGAGCTAAGCATACAAGGCATCTACCAGTAAAGAGGGCTGAAAAGATACTCCTACATCTTTCTCCATGTTGCAGTTTTCCCCGTGCTGCTCTGTCTTGTAAGAACTAACTCTCTCCAGGCTAGTACCAGCGTCATTACTTCTCATTTACCAAGTAACACTTTCTAGATATGCTATGATTCAAGGGTAGCATCCCTATGCAGTGTCGGCTTCTCACATCTTCACTACTGAAAGACAATTCCTCCTTCACACTTGATCCCCAGAGAGCTTGCTTTTGCATAGAAGTTAGATGTTTCAGTACTTCAAATGTCAGAAGTGTCACATTGTGGCAGCTATTTTTGTACTGCCAACATTAGGATTGTCTTCTGCTATCAGCAGAAGATCTGACAAAGAGTTGCTAGTTGCTGAACAAAACTGTATTAGGATAAAATAGCAAAATAAAGTATATTAAGGTAAAGTGATACATGAAATATGGTGTGCACTGTAAGAAAACAATCCATATCAGGAGCTCTTTAAGAACTAAAATTCTGAAATAAATTATTCAAAATGAAATGGAAATGTATGACAAAGGAGGTATATAAAGAGTAGCATGAACAGGGACAGATGAAGTAAGAGTGATTAAGGTGCAGGAAGAGTTACTAAAGTCAAGAAACAAGTAACAGCACAAACAAAATCTAAAAATGTGTGGAAGTAAAAAGTGAACAATGGAAAGCATTGCTTAAATACATAGTAATAGGTCAGGTAAGAATGCTGACATTCTTTATGCCAAAAGTATCTATTGTGACCATTTATCTAGCAATTAATTTATGTACAGAGATGATGGCATAATGCACAATAGGAAATGAATAGTTTAAATACCTGGAGAAGGAATTGAATTCAGAGTTACCAAAGACTCAAGATATTAACCTGCAGGTAGATAAGGCATTATCTGAAATAATCTTTGAACCAGTAGTGATTATCTTGAGGTACACCTGGAGAATGAGGGAGACTCTCCACAGGAGTGGAGAAGTGCAGAAACAGGAAAAAGCTCTGAGGAATTACAGATCCATTCCCTAACCTCAGTTTCAGAAGTATGATGAGGAAAGAATAATTTTGTGAAACAAAAATATTAAGGTAATAAGAGGCATTCAAAAGGGATTTTCAAGAAGCCTAATCCAAAGACCTCGCCCTAAGCACTGTGGATGTCAAACAGTCCTCTGGCTGCCCAGAGGCAGAGAGCACTCTCCAGCATTCTTTTGCTGTACACTTCAGTTGCATTCCAGCTGCACAGTCCTCATCTTAAAAAATGGTTTGCAATAAAAGGGATTCTCACTGACTATTATATCTCCTGTTTTGATGATCAATAATTAAAATAATCCTCTGGTAAGACCCTTACAATTGTACAGTTCTGCAAGCTTCACATCTGACAAAAACTGTAAAGCATTAAGTCCAAGCAAAAAATTTACTTCCTCCTCATATGATCTGTACAGATTTTACTCTGTGTCTCACCAAGATAACAAAACATGTCAATTTATCATGGCTGTTGTTGAAATCCAATGCAAATTCTACACAATATGATCTGAAGAACTAAGCAACAATTAACTTAGAGTACCAAGTTTAAATTAAAAACTTGTTACTAAATAATAATTTATGAAAGAAGTTGTAGTCTGAAAATATCTAAAGGAAAAAAGATTAAAAATCTTCACATGTACTTTTTCTAGGGCCAGCTGTGCTCTTATGTTTTCATCATCAATTTCTACCATTTCAAAAAGACTGAAATATACTTTCAATATTGTACATTATCAAGTTCTCTATTTAACTTTATGATTCATTCCAGAATCTTCAATAGTTTTTACTTGTTCTTTCCTGGAATAATAATGTGCTGTCTGAACAATAATCTGCTGTCCAAATAATAATTTTCTGTTTCTTCCGGGATTACTTAATACTTCTGTTTGCAATAGCAAATGTTAGTTATAACTGTACTGGAATAACTTAAAATAGCATAAGCATCTTTATACTTCTAAGGACAAAGATGGAACAATACAACCTTAAATAAATCAACTCCTAGACAACTTAGAGAGGTAAAAATATAGTCTCCCAATAAGCCTCTACAAGTCACACTTGACTAGCTACAGAATTTCCACATGCCCACTTCAAAATCAACAAATACTAATTTCAAGCACATTTTAATTACAAAAATGTAAAAATGAAATATTTGTACATATCTAAAGGTCTGTAAAATGACTAGAAAGGATAAGTAGTTTGCTTTAAATATTCTTTAGATAATAAATGCAATATGATTTTCTACTACTCTCTGTTTTGCAGCAACACTGCAAGTCTTGAAAACTTCTTGATACTTTTGATTGATCAGACAACCTCTTCCTGCTCTTTCCTCTCTCCTTTTCCTCCCGATATGCATGCTTTTTATATATTGTATCTTAAATGTGAATTATTTTCTACCCTTGGAAAATTAGAAATAATTTTACAATAGCATAGACAAGAAAATATGCAGAAAGTAACATACATTTTGAAGTGTCAAATCACTGATGTTAGTTGATATTGCTCTCAGCCAGTCAGCACTCTCCTGGGCTGTATAAAACTGAAGTATCCCAGTACTAACTCCATCAAGTGCCAGCACTTCAAATGCATTAGATCTGCAGTAAGAAGAAATATATCCATAAAGGAAGATATGTCAATTTTCTGAAACTGCCCAATATTTCTCAGTATTCAAGTGATTTTTACACCTTTTTACAAGTTTTGAGTCTTAACTTTACAAATCAAAAGAAAGTCAACAAAAAGGATAATGATGGGCAGTACCAGGAGCAACACATACAATAAGTACTTTCTCTGTACCAGCATATATATGTGCTGATCATTTACTTCCCTTGAGTATACATATTATGTTCATAATTAATGAACTTAAGATAGTGTATTCACCAAGTATGCATTAGATCTTTTTGAACAAACATTAAAAATAATTAAACCAAAATGACTTTTTTTTTCATTTTGCTTTAATTTGTTTGATTCTTTTTTTTTTTACATTGCATTCTAAGCAATGTTTTTTTACGCTCTTTTATGAGATAAGACTTTGAGAAATTTACTTAGAAGTTTCTTTAAACAATTTTTGAATGTAGGACCCTTTCTCAAAACAACATCGACACATGCTAATGCGCAATTGCATTTTATTCTTTTTTTATGCATTTTTACGTGGTTATAGGAAGTTTATTCTGCAAATGTCAACACTTTCCTTAGTATCTGCAGTAAGTTAGGCACTATGTAAGTACCTCTGAAATCCCCTAGCAATTAAACTTCAGAAAGCTACATAGGTTATTTAAGTGCTCATGATTGTCATAAGAATTAGATTATAGTCATGCACTATTGTGAAAACAATATAATTACCTGTATCATTGAGCATATATTTGTTTTGTATATAATTTGGTGGATGGTACTAATCTAGAAGACAGCAAACTACTGAATCAAGAATACTGCTCTATGATGTTGTTGGGTTTTGTTTGGATTATCTGATCTAAGGTGAAGTCCTCTACTGCTTAATTCATGATATATGTCAACATGAGCATTCAAAATGACACAGAGGTTAACAGGCATTCATGACATACTGAACAAGATATTAACCTAACATTTATCATTTCTAGGGAGTCTGATCGTGAACATGAACACTGAACTTTATATACTTGCTAAAATAGGTCCTATAAAATACCCATCACACACATATTAACAAGACAAAGTATCTTAATAGATACATATACGAGAACTGATATGCTTTACTGTTAAAGTTGTAAAGTGTCATAATTGCTGTTTGCAAAAAGAACATTATTGGTTTGAAGACCTATATATATACACATTGGCTGGTTCCCTTGTTTTCCTTTATGATTGAATTATCATGATAACCACTAAAATCTGATGGCAATGGCACAATTCTGTGTCACTTTCATTTCGGTAAATCTGTTTCACATCCTCAGAAAGAAGGAAAAGGTCAAAACAAAGTCTTTTATTGTCTTCAAGTAAATTGAGTGAAATAATAACCTCTCAAGCATACTGTTCCTTTTACCTAAGGCTCTAACAAAGATCCCAACAGTGCTGTAATAGAATGACTTAAGGTATGATCTCTTCAACACCCATTGAGATAGGGAAGATCTGTCATCTCCTATGCATCGATACACAGTAGAGCATGGAAAAAGACTTAATTTGGTGCTGTGAAGAGAAGCCATTCAAAATGACTAACAGATACTGAATTCAAATATCAGAGCTAAGATGCTAGAATTCTTAGACAGATAGAGAGGACAATCCAGAGCATTTAACACAGCAAAGAAATACTATGTGCTCCCCACTAAATCCACAGAGTGCTTAGATATTATGTCAGCTTCAGTTAGATGCATAAAGGTATGCAATGTGAATGTCTCATCCAAGCGGCACAAAGTTATACAAGCGGCTGATGAAAGATCACAGACGGGAACTCCTCAACTAATGCAACCAACACAGGCAATCAAGACTAAAAATAGCAAGTTTTATTATAAACATTAACCAAACTTTTATCATTTGAAACATGGTGCTGACAATAGGGCTGATTACACTAAAACTCCTGTTGTCCTTTATTAAATTATGGTGTTCAGCTATAAAAGACAAGTTAACAAGATTCAAACAAATGCATCTAGAAGTCTGAACACTTCACTGAAATTTTATTTGCACAGAATTACATGTGTGTGGGATCCTGCAAGTTCTCTAATCTAGCTTCCTCACTAACTGGTTTAAAATACAAATCTCTTTTCCTCAGGAAGACCAAAACTGGACACAGTACTTCAGATGCAGCCTCAGGAATGCAAAGTAGAGGAGAATAATCCCTTCCCTTGACCCACTCACTATGTTATTACTAAAGCAGCCCCAAGCATGTTTACCCTTCATCACTGAAAGTGGGTATAGCTGACTCATGATCAATGTGGTGTCCACCAAGATCCACAAGCCCTTTCCTGCAGAGCTGTTCGCTTGCCCCTGCAGACTGATACCAGGACATCCTTCTCTAGGAGCTCTGTCTCATTCAAGGCTTCTGATGTGCTGGAGGTAGTCACACTGCTGGCACAGGGAACTGAGACCTTTATGGCACCACTGTTCCCACTGTGCTGACTCGTGCATAAAGCTAATTTTACCAGAAAGCAAATCAGTGAAATAAAATAAATAGGAAAAGAAAGAGTCAGGGTTTTTTAAAGTTAAAAGATGCCAACTATGAAGTCCGTACTAGCAATACAGTGATTTTGCTCTCAACCTTACTCAACTTTACTGTCATTATTGCTTGCCTTCAGTTACAATAGCTTCCCTCTACAGAACCCATAATACAGCGTTATTACGCTGTGTTTAGAAAAGTGTAGTGTATATAAGACTGCAAGCAAAAACCAATATCAAAACTAAAAATAAAAGCTTAACAAAATGAATGCTGAAGTTTTTGTTTTAAGTGAAACAATCAATGCAAGCACCAAGACAGCACAGGAATACAGAAGAAAATAAATTCTAGAGGCTTAAATACGACACCTTTCTTCATTTCGTCAAAACATAGAAAAGAAAAAAATAAAGAAGCACAACTAAGCACCTATTCCTGCCAGCCAACAAGGGTGAGCTTTCTATTTAATACCAAATAATAAATTTGAGAGGTCTCAAGATGCTATGAAGTCAACTCAATGCCAGAAGATAAGGTGACTTTCTGTTATTGCTGCTGTTGTTTTGTTTTCTTTTCGCTGAGGCTGCAAGCTGACTTTATCTTTTCTACTCCTGCTGTACTGTTTTACTGTTGTACTATTACAACTAGAAACAGAAATGAATTTTTGCTTTTCCTAAATCCTAGAAATTTGAGCTGAATCACCCTCATATTTCTCATTATTTTCAGACTTGTCTCCCAGTCTGTAATTATGTTTCCTGCAAACATTTCCACTAAGGAACAATGAGGCACTGTTTTCTATACTTGGCCTCTTTCAATCACTCTTTCATGCTGAAATGACGAATGGACCTGAATTCCTGGCCTCTTCTGGGTTGTGTTTACTGCATTAATTTATTTTAATGAAATAAACACTGTCTTGTGAGAATGGCAGCCAGAATAACTGATACGCATTGGTAGACTTAAGGTGTCTTCCTGGTATTGACACTTTTAACAATTAATGTTCATTAATATTAATAAAGCATATTTTGCTGTACATGCAGTTAGCTACTATAGAGTTGTTAAATCAAAAGACTTTTCTAAGAGAAAAATGTATTATCAGTGCCAGCTGAAATGGGAAGAACTGAATTTTAGGCTAAGAGGCGGCTAAGAGTTTTAGTAAAGGTTAAGAATTTTAGTAAAATATATTTTAATTCAATATCTGTCACATGTGAATCTAATTTTCCAGATGACTTTTCTCAAGATTTTATTTTATTTCCTTAATAAAAACCTAGACACTTGTCTTCAGTTGAAACAGTAGCTGTTTTACCTGAAGTTTACTACCATGCTGATACAGACAGACTTGATTAGCTTGGCATCTTCCCAGGTGTATCAAAGTTAGTGGGAAGCAAGCAGGTCTGCTGAAGAAACTTAGGGTTATTTATCCTGAGGTATCTATTGAAGACATCCGGGAGTAGTCTTGCTGAGCTAATCCTAGTGAATTAGAATTTAATATCTTGTCAGCAAGCAGAACAAAAGACAAAATAAGTCTCAAATTCTCCAGAAATAAAAAACAAAAGGTAATAATTCTTTGAACCCTGTGACAATATTAATATGAACAATTCCCTGAGAGTAATAATCTGTTTATCTTTTTTGTGGGACAGGATTTATTTTGCCTTTTCTTATGCTTGCTAGCAATATGCCACAGAATGATCCACTGTTCTGTCTTCTAAGGGATGCTGTTTACTAGAACAAACAAGAGTGAAGAGGTGTCGTATCAATTTTCCAGAGCAACACATCATCTTTGCAGGAAAGCAGAAATGGTTCCTGAGATCACACATTCTGAAAATAATTGAAGTGCTTCATTTTCACCTGTGCATTTAGTTGCAGTACAGATTTTAAAATGAAAAGATAAATACAATGAGGATGAAGATTCAAAAAATAAACCAGCTCACTCTCCTTATGTTGGTTTCACGCTACTGAACAGAATTAAAAGGATGTACTTAAGCATGAGAATATATTGCCCTAGAGCACAAAGAAACAGCATTTTCCTTAGTTTTCATGTCACTGATTTTTGATACACTTTTAGACTGCAAGTGCATTGCATTCAAAAATGTCTGATTTTTAGCCAAATCATTTTACATCACTTCGCATGTAAGAAACAGGTACTAAATTGGTCCAAATCTCTAAGAATCAATATTCAGCGCTGATCTTTTATACCAACTGTGTGGCATAGCTACTGTCTAGCTTCTTTTTCCTCCTTATACCTTTATTTTTCTTTAATTTAGCTGCTTATTCTAGCCAAAGTAAGTCAGTCTCTTACTGTGGAGAGATCTGCAGAATGTCTGGTCGCTTCTCAGGTATCTTCTTGGTTACATTCTGTTGAGCAGATCTTATTCTGCAGCCTCCATTTGCTTGATCCCTTGCAATTGATTTCCAGAATGTCTTGCTGCTTGAGCAGAATTGTGGCAAATGCACTGGAAACATTTATTTTAATGATGCTTTTAAAGGAAA